ACCGTCTAAGAAACGGTCAAAAATGAGATGACAGGATAAGCCTAAGCAATAAAACAACCAATCAGAAGACGTTGCTTCACTGCTTACAGTAAAGAATATTAATGTACATAAAAATTTATAAATATCTTTTGATTTTCTCAATAAACGATCTGTTGACTATCCCTTGTCTTCTGTTGTTACTAGATTAAGAGAAAATATGAACTGTTTGTCGTGCCATGACCAAATCTAGAATCATAAATGTTTGAGATGTGACATCACGCACTCAGAAATAATCCGAACTTCTTTACACATTGCAGAAAAATAGCCTGTGCCTTTATAGATCAGGAGGATATCTTCCGTTGCATCGGTGGTTTAGCGTTAGAACGCTCTCCGACCACGCCTCATGTAGACCGGGGTCCGATCCCAGGTCAATTCACTCTTATACCCTGCTCAGCTGGTAGTAAGGTTGGTAAAAAGAGGTTAGGTTAGACGTAAGGCTAGCAACCTTACCCCGTAGAAACAAAAATACTGCTACAGGAACTTCAAAGTACAGAAATAAGGATATCTTCTACCTGATATTCTAACCCCACTACCACTCAACTAACAAAGGAAGATGAGAGAGAGACAATGGATAAGATACGTAAAATACGTACCAACCTAATAAACAATGTAGAGATGCAGCCTTAGGTAGTTGACGTTAAGCCAAGAGCTTCCAGATACGAATACCACTCCATTGAATCCAACCTGAGCAACTGGGCAGTATCATCAGCTCAAACACAACAATTGTCTTGTAGTTCACATAGACTGTGTGCTATATGTGTGGATGCTCTGTTCTGAGTGACCGAGTTTTCTAAACAGAACTCACTGTTTTTCTTTCAGGACGAATAACCTATCACTATCAGTAATAAAATCATGATTTACACATGCACTGACATGACAACCTGATTGGTTGATTTTTGGCCTTAATTTTCGAGGATTTATAATGTCATACAACCAATCAGATTCGTTTAATTATTTATTTATTTCTGGCTTAAATTTCTGAGATTATGTAAATTATGAATATCGTCCATTTAAAATAATAAATTGTTCTCGCTGTCGTCCTAGTTAAATCTAACTTCTGTGTCTATCTCACTGTGGGGGAATATTTTCAAATGATCAGTTGATCTGAGTATAGTGTCCTGAACGTGGATTCTAGTTGAGTTGACCGACAACCACAAATCAGTAACCTTCCGTTATAAAAGTTTCAATTTATGTTACTCTACTAAGTGATAATAGCGTCGGAGGCATAGCGGTTAGGACGCTCGCCAACCATGCACATGGTCCGGGGCTCAATCCCCGGTCACAGACGCATTCCTTTACCTCTCTAAGCCGGAAATAATGTTGCTAAAGAGGAAAGGTTGGGCATGAGGCTAGCAACCCCATCCTGTAAAAATTAAACACTGCTACAGAAACTTTTTTTGGTTACAGCTTGATTCCACACCGTATTTTTGGTACAAGTGTGGAATTTTCAGCGTGGATATCGGTAGCCCAAAATTCGCAGGCCAACCATAGATATCAGGTGTGCGTCGGCGGGGGCTCGAACCCCGGACCATGTACATGGTCGGCGAGAGTCCTAACCACTGTGCCACCGACGCAAACTTCAAGCCACTAGCTTGAAGCCCTATGTTCCACTGGGGGCGTGAAGGAAAAAAAAGACTAAGTGATAGGATTCACTAGATAACAATATAAATACTGAGCAAACTGGTACAATTTCGATTATGAATCTATCACTTACATCAATAGCGTGATTTCTTCAAACTCTAGAAGGAATGAGGTATAGCAGATACACAGTAGAATTCAAGATGCACATTTCATCCTGTCTAAGACTTGTCAGTTGAATATATCTATATTCCCAGTGATTGATGATGTTCTGAATGAAACTAAAACCGAACACCCATTGTCTCAGGTACATCCAGATATGACGAGTCCCTAATAGGACGAAATGCGCGCCCCTGATTCTACAACTAGTTACCATTCCCTAAATAATATAATACCAATGACAGGATGAAAGTAGGAATTCGAAACTTGGTAAGGTCATACAAAGTGCACACTTTCCAAACGTATCTCTGAATATTATATCCGATATGGTTATATCAAGAAGGCAGCGCAAAGCAATTACTGTCTCAATTCTGAAGGCCACACAGATCCAATAGAGTGGTCCTTTAAAGTTATCTACGAGGCTAGACCGAATAGTCCATGGAGTGTTAGGCTCTGGAACAGGAAATCTATTAAATACAACTCAAAACTTCGTGTGCTGGAAAGGTTTCCTTAATCTCTTATTCTACCATGGTCCGATACTCTCTCCTACCTGTTTTTTTCTATTTTTAGTAAATTTATTATATTTTTACTCCTTTGAGTGCCGAATGGAACGTAGGGCTTCAACAACACACTTTCACTTTGTCCTATTTTCTGCTATCCTCTTCAGCCGCATCCACAGTTGACCATAATTTCTCATCTCTTTTCCTCGTATGATCTCCCCCATGTCACACTAGAGAGAGATCCACTTCTCGCTTCCCATTAGGATTCCATTTGATTGATGGCCTGCATTGAGCGCTATGTCATTCGACAGCCTCCTGAATGTAAGCCCGATCCATCTCCATTTTCTCTCACATATTTATTGACCAATCAGCTCTCGCCTACTGGTTTGTTCCTACCCAGAGTTTTTTGTTGCTGTTTCTGGCCGGCTGGCCACTTGATCTTCAGTATGGAACCAGCCAGAGAAGGTGGAAGCTGCTACTACCTTGTTGGAAATCCTTTTCGTGACACGGCCGCCAAGTTTCTAACGCATACACAGAAGGACTGATTGACTTCACAGTTGTGTTGAAAAATTCGAATCTTGTTCTTTATGCTGGCTGAGACGGAGTGCAGAGAATTTCTAAACTGGTTTCAGCTTGACGAGAGCGTATCTTGCCTTCCCCACTCTGGTTTTGACATCTTCATGTGTTCCGCCGGCGTGTGGTTGAAACTGTGCATCCCGGCTGGATAAGTGAAGGAACTCCTTATATGTTCCTTTTGTAGGATTTACGAAGTTTTTTTTTAGCCATCTTCACATCTGTCAAGTGGACACTCAACCACATCGCTTCTCATCGAATAACAGTTTTCACCTTATCAACTTGTACTTCCTTAATTCCATCGTGTCATTGACTGTTACACAACTACCTTTTGCCTTCTGAGTAGTTGCATAAATTCCCACCCTACCCCCACCTTATTACTCAATCATAAACTATTATACATTTTCGGTTAAACGTGAATACAATTGTACAGCCTATGAAGACGAGATCGTCCGTGAAGACAATTTTCTTCACCGAATTGTCCTCTATATAAGCACTTCATGACTCAGTGGATATTTTCGACACTTGCAACACACTTAGAACTTGACATCTACATCACCACCTAATGACTGGCATACAACGAAGGACACTGAAACACTCTCTTAAACGATTTTGTAATCGAAATTCGTAAAACGTCTGTCTATGACTCGATGATAGAATACTATGAGGTACACTGGACGATGTGGGTTCGACTACCTGAACCCTACCTAGTTCGTTTACTAACCTGTAGTGAGTCCTAAGAAGATGGAAGATTTGGAAGTGAGGCCAGCAACCGCCCACCCTCCCCCCAACTTGTAAAAAAACAGACGCTACCACTACTGGTGTGGTGAGAGCTGGCTGCAAGCCTGAATTGTAGACAACAATTTACGTCAATGTATACGTCCCGGAGTGGGGTCATGAGAAAAACAACAACAAAGCTTAACCTTGAGAAAATCACCAGCCAATCACAGCGGAGTTAACGTGCGGAAATATTATTCTCAGATATATGGCTTAAGTTTCTGAGAAACGGCAACAAAGAAATAACAGAATAACTTTTAGCACGAAAACAACCAATCAGAAGACATTGTCTCTCCGATAACAATAGTGTGCATAGAAATATATAAATATCTTTTGGCTTTCTCAATAAAGAATCTGTTGTCTGGACCTTGTCTTCTATCGTTAAACTGGAACTTCAAAAACGCTTAAAGCCCCATGTTCCACTCAAAACACAAAAGAATCATAATACGGAAGGATAAGCATACACACTTGAAGTTAGATATCAATCAGCTCATTTCTCCGGATTCAAATAACCTCCAATCATCAAAATGCACATGAATTGTATTTAACTGATGGGTGGTGACTAGCAGTAGAATCCAGGATAATGCGCATTTCGTGCTATTTGGTGGGACTCGTCAGCTGACTGGATGTACCTGCATTTCTCAGTGAGTCAGTGATGGTGACCCCACCGAGGCTCGAACTCAATGCCTATAGTTTCAAACGCCAAAGCGTCATCCACTGGACCACTTGGGCCACCTCTTATACAATGGGTCATATTAATTATTTAATGGAATTTTAGATTTTCCTATCGATTGATTGGACCGAAGTGCTCGGCCTCAGGTTGACATGGTGAGCAGTCCAATCAATAGACGGGAAAATCTAAAATTCCATTAAATAATTAATGCCACCCGTTGCACAAGAGGTGGCCCAAATGGTATAGTGGATAACGCTGTGGTGTTTGAGATTATGGGCACTGAGTTCGAGCCTCGGTGGGAACACCATCACTGACTCACTGGGGAATGCAGGTGCGTCCAGCGACGAGTACCAAATGCGCATCCTGGGTTCCACTGCTAGTCACCATCCACCAATTAATTTCTACAATTAAATGCCAAGACATTGTCGAAGCATCTGCACAAGAAGCCGACAGACATGTCAACACCTGAGACCGACCACACTTCGATCCAATCAATCGACGGGAAAATCTAAAAAATCAATTAAACATGAGTAGTATGTCTAATAGTATAATTTTTTTTATAATTTCAAATTTTTGTAGCAACAAATGCAAGCTATTATTGTCTAACTATAAGACTGATCATCGAACTTCAAAACCCAATGAACATCGATTGCATTTGAATGGCTCCTTTTGTTTCACATAGGCGAATTTTACATGTATATTCATCTTCTATACCATGCTTGTACAGGTCTTTCAGATTTGATTTTCTTTTGTAATTGTAGTATAGAATACATTAATGCTTCAGCTGATGGAGGACAACCTACATGGCGAACGAGAGAACAAGAGGAATTCGAAAAAGAGGAAAAAGAATGATTAGAAAACAAGTTTAAAAAAATAAATAAATATTCAAGTATTGGTTTGTAGGGATTTGGTTGGTTGGTTTACAGGATTTCATCATGAGCTGACATTAGTTAGAGAACCATTGAAAAACGAGCTGGGAGTACTGGATAACCGTTTCGTCCTAGTCTGGGACTCTTCATCAGTAAGCACCAACCGGGATTCAAACCCAGGACCTTCTGGTTACAAGGTGAGCCAGCTCGTAGACCATTAAGCCACTGGGACCCGATCCAATACGGTTCTAGCGAGAACTCGTGGCCAGTAGGGTACAGCAGGTCGGGCGTGAGGACATATACTCGCCGAAGACATTGGCTAGGGGTCGCGCTATGTCATGAATTGGCAGAAGTTAGAATTCATGGGCCATTGGATCGGGTCCCAGTGGCTTAATGGTCTACGAGCTGGCTCGCCTTGTAACCAGAAGGTCCTGGGTTCGAATCCCAGTGGATGCGTACTGCTGAGGAGTCTCAAGCTAGGACGAAACGGCTGTCCAGTACTCCCAGCTCGTTTTTCAATGGTTCTCTAACTAATGTTAGCCGATGATGAAATCCTGTAAATAAATAAATAAACTGAACAATTTAACTTATATACATGATTATGAATACAATGATACCATTATAATGGACAGATATGGTTGCGACGACGAAGGAAAAGAAAAAAAAATAATTAAATAAAGCTTTGATGATGTGTTGACTTCAGTTAAGGGACCATTGAAAACCACCGGGGAGTACTAGAGAGCGGTTTCGTTCTCGTTGTTTTTCTTATTCCTTTACCTTCTCAGTGGAATATAGGGAGCCTTATATATATATATATATATATATATATATATATATATATATATATATATATATATATATATATATATATATAATGTAGCTAATATCATAATAATTGAGAATGTGAAGCCAATATATCCATCCATCTAAGCCCTTTGAACATGCGAAAAATGATGTCACATCCCACTGTATTTACCAGTTTTAATGTACGTGTGGACACACACATACATAGGGAGGACTCATCGATCTCTGCAAATAAGGGCTGATTTCAGAGCATATTCGTAAACGGCTTCAGAAGCAAACAGAATCCCCAAGACCCATTAATGTCTGTCTGTTTTCGACATAGAACTTTGCACAAATGTGCACCAGTTCAAGTCGCCACACTCCATGTAGCACACAAAGCAAGAGATGAAGGTAGGAGAAATGCATAATAGAGACAGTAAACAGTGGTGTGAGACAAAGGAAGAGTAATAACGAAGAACAAAACAGTTTCATTGGTGGAGATCATAAGTCACAAGGAGTGGATGCATCTGCGCCACTGAGAACGATTTTGAGCCATGTCACCAATTGTTTCCAACCATTGGTTTTTACCGTCCCGAGGACCCCAACCAGTCAGGAAGTCTACACCTTCCTACATGGCTGGCTTAAACTAACTGTTGTAGATTTCGTTAACTGGAGCCAAGTTTTTGTTTGACCTCCGCTAGCTTTTTTCCAGCCTGACCCTATATCCGCCAACATTCCTCCTCAAGGAAGGCGATGCCTAGACATACGTAACACATGTCCTAACCATCTTAGTATATGAGCCTCTGAGATGACACTCGTAGCACATATCCAGGCTAGCAAACCAGACATTGTAAGATGACAAAAGTTAGTAAAAGACGACCTTCACGGTGTTCAAGTACACGCTGCTGGAAATTGCAATTCCTTCCATGATGCCATTAGATGCAGGTAATTCTACAGGGGCAGAAAACTCCCTGCAACCGGTGGTTTCAGCATGTAAGCAATTCTAAGGAGGCTTAGTATGGCGAAAACACGCTACGCCTTACATATTTGGTTGCTAAATTTGATTATAAAATATAATGACTGTTAGGATGGAATGAAATTGGTTCGTGGATTTGTTTAACTTGACCAGAGTACACCTCCAGAAAACGACAGTATAACTACCTAAACCCTCGGAAAATTAAGCCACAGACACATGAATTAAAACCGTCCATAAGGATATCATCACGATGTCACATCTAACAAAGAAGCTTGTCCCTCCTAACTGTAACATTTTTGAAGATGATAGTGCAACTTGACAGTTATTATGAATCATAATACTTTTCGAGGGATTAGTGTACCTGCTGAATACTACACATAAAATCATTCCCTTGAAGCGTAAAACGCATTAGCCTATTACATTTGTGAAGTGTATAAGGAGATTATAAAGACTATTCGTCATCTGGGATGGAAATTTTCTAAATGACAACAAGTGGCTTATTGGCAACTTTGGTTCAAGTACTCGACTTATAGCCAATAGGTCTAGGGCTCGTGACTCACTCCACGTACTTCAGTCTGGGCAACTGTTGGGTAGTATCATCGGTCTTCATATATAAATTGGCTCATAGTTCGGTACATGTAAAATCTGTTCCACATAATTGAATTCAAACATAGATGATAAGAATTACTGTCTACCTGGAAATATGCTGACAACCAATGAATACATTTAGTTCACATTGGTTTCAGGATATCAGGTATACACACTTTTGAAATCTATTGGCTATTATAGGTTAGAAAAAATTGAACGAGGTCAAAAGAAGTGTCTGTCTCAACTCACAAAAATGGAAACATTACATCAAGGAGGAATAAGATTTACAGGAAAAGAGCAGTTGATACCATGTCGATTAATTTCCAAGAGCACTATAGTCGTACACGTGATTTTATTGTGATATTGTAAGCTGAACACGGTGTCGGTGGAACAGCGGTAGAATGCCCGCCGACCACGCAGTTGGTTCAGGGTTCAGTCCCCGGCCACAAATGCACTCCTTTACCTCGCTAAGGGAAGGTTGGGCATGAGGCTAGCAACTCCATCCTGTGAAAATAGTCACCCGTAACTACTACAGAAACATCAAGCCTCTAGCCTGAAGCCCTATTTTTAACTGGGGACGTAAAGGAATAAAGAAGCTAAACACGATAGTTTTAAATAGCCTTACTTTTATCAAACTTCGGTAATAAAATCATATTTATTTTTGTTGATAAAGCCCGTGGTATGAAAACTCCTCATGCTCCGCCATTATTGATCAGTCAATAGATTCCCAAGGAGTAAATGATTACTAAGTGGTCGCATTAACTTTAAAATCGTAGTCTGGAAATAACTTGAGTGTAAGCCTATTTAGCAAAAATAGTACTCTGAAGCCAATCTCTTTTTAATGAAACCTGTAACAGAAGTCATAAAAGATTCCTTAATATCACGGGAAAGCAATCTGCTCCTAAAAAGTTATGTAAACGTTGGAAAACATAATATTATTTACCAGTCTAGTAGACCAACAAACTATCATGTGATAGGAAGCATATTTTTTGAAATCGGATTGAAAAACCAACTTTCAATCAAGATTTAGAAGGTAGTACACCCAATTCCAGTTTTTTAAGACATGACAATTTTCTGGTGCTCATAATCTTGACCAAGTAACCCAAAAGTAAAGACTTTGAGGCAAATTAAAGTGAAAATTTTGCGGAAACTCAGTAAAGTTTGTAAAAACCTCAGAATTATCACCGAAACTGTTTCGTTATGTGGGGCGATAGGGGATGATAAATACTGACACACATATATATCTCGCGAAAACATACCTGGAACATATATATCAACTGGAATAACGCGATCACAACCACGTAGAACACTATAAGAATAATGATAGTAACCACCTCCATTCGCACAAGAACCCATTGAAATAACCCACTTAGGATGTGTCATCTGATCGTAAATTCTGCGAAGAGCTGGAGCCATTTTGTTTGTAACAGTTCCAGAAATAATTATAAGATCAGCTTGCCGTGGACTAGCTCGAAATACTACACCATAACGATCCATATCATAGCGCGGTCCTGCTATATGCATCATTTCAACAGCGCAGCAAGCAAGACCGAAAGTGAGGGGGTATATAGAATTCTACAGAATAATATCGATTATGTAATTGTCCCACTTTTCTAGCCCAATTTGCCAGATCATCAAGTCGTGTGATAACATAGTCAATTTTTCCCTGTGGCTTTGGAAATGGACTATACGGTTTATATGGCATGGAATCATCAGGGATGGATACTTTAGATGACTGGCTGTGCGATAATAAATAAAAAAATTTATAGATTACCTTGGATCAGAATTGGCTAGCCGTGAACACGATGAATGAATGAACCTAGGACCATATCTCCCAGCAAATGAAGCCAACATACTAAAGTAACGAAAGCACCGAAAACAGCGGTCAAATGCAATATCGAGTACTCAATATATACTTGGATTTTTGATTAAGAAGATATTTTGTCTCTTCGTCAATCACTTTTAGTTAGGCGCTTTTGTCTGTTTTACCTCATGTAGAGGACGTTTTTCGAGAAGCAGGCACTATTTTGTTCTGTAAGTCCACTGCAATATCCAATATCGGTTTTGCGATCTAGTAATAACCAGTTTGATTTCTTTGTGCTCGCCTCTTGACTGCGAGGTAGAAGTTCCTGATTTTCGGTAAACTTCTGCGTAGCTCGTCCCGCCACTCGACCGCCGTAGCTTTGGTTGACTCCAAAAGGAGTAGTGCTGGGATTAATTATGTTTTTTTGTAGTATGCGATCTGTTGCAACTGCTACTACTGTCAGTTGAGTTGGTCCCTTCACCAGCTAGTCCTCCAACATCGTCGTCAAAAAAAGGTGTAATAATAAATATAATTAGTGAGTTTATTCGGACTAACAGTCAGAAAAAGAGATAATGAAAGCGTAAAAACAGACAGCTGATTAAATCTGAAGTTGATATTTATATATTGGTAATAATAACAATAAGTGTAGTTAAATTTGTCAGGAGAGCAAGAAGGGAGAGTACGTAAAGAAGTAAAACGACGGACTCAGTTGTCTACCCCTGTGAGATTTTAAGGGGATAGGTCATTTGGACGCAGTGCTTGTGTCGCTGCATGTTTGTCCAGCCTTCGCATAAAGGCGTCCACAGACGGCGCCATAGCTAAATCTGCCGGTAAGGAATTCTAGGGACGGCAAACCCGCAGTGGAAAGAAGTGGGAGCGCACCCGGTGCTTACCCTCTGGTGAGCTATCCTTCAAGGATTACCATGAGGGAGCCCACATCTATTCAATGACAGAACACCTTTGTTTGGGTGATTCTGGTCATTTGTTATCTTTTTTAGCCTTTCATCATATGGTTTATTTCGGAGATCAACCACTCCTTTTGTTGCCCGTCTTGGGACTATTTCCAAGAGGTTGGCGTCTCTTCTAAGCAGTGGGGGTGCAATGATATCATGCAATCCAAGGTGTTGTCTTGTGTGTGTTATGTACAACCTTAGAAAGAGCTCAGTAGTGAGTGCACCTAGCTGTCTATGTGTAAAGTTTATGAACGCATATGCCCTCCCTACGTCTTTAAACGATCCCAAACAAGATCGAATCGTGTGACTGCACGGTCGCTCTTTCCTAGTAAAGTTATGGTCTGGACCTTTTCGACGAGAAGATGGGCACCAGTTAGAATGTAATCTAGTTTCAATGACTTTCTACTAGGGCCACACCTAGTGTAGTCTCCGACATTCTCCTTCCGTTCTGTATTTCTAATGGTTTGCAGTAGATTTCGACCGAATTTTCTCTGAGCATACCCCTAGCCAAGGTTCAGTGACGGGGCATTGAAATCTTCAGCTGTAGTGATTTGGTCATGGCCAAAGTCCCATATCCCTGTGATGGTGCTGAGTAGTAGTTGGTTGTGCTCTGTCCTGCAGGTAGGTGGTCGGCAGACTCCGCCCAGTAAATGCTTGGTGTGACCTACGGCAAAATGACACTAAATGGAGTCTGGGAGTTTAATAAGTGGTGGGTCTGTTGCACGTACTCACTTAAGTTGCTTGTCAAAGTATATGGCAACTCCACCCTTCCTTTCCCTCCCGACCGATACCACACCACTTATATTGATTTCGTTTTCGATGATAGTGAGGTTAGCCAGGTCTCAGTAAGGACGATTATTTGAAGGTGCAGGTGCGACTGGAGGTTTCTGAGTTCACCTACTTTCGCTCTCAGCCCTCTCACATTGCTGTACAGGCAGTTGAAAATGAGTCTCACAACCTCAGAGTGTTGCGGGTTAGTTGACGTTAAGCTGCCTGTTGGCAGGGGACTTAATACTGGGACTAGTTTGCCGGTTTCGATGGAGCCCGTCTTCGTTTTTTCCTTGGATTCAGGCAGGACACTTGGGTGACACTTCCACTCTCAGTACCGAATCACTGTAGTGTTGATGAGGCTTGAGAACGTACTAAGACCTCAGTTTGCTGCATCCTGGTGATTCGAAGTCTGCTTTCTCAGCATCGGATCCGTCCTCTCATTTCCTCCTTGGTCTCGTACCATTGTTGAAATACTAGAGCAAACGCCTCCGGGGAGCTGAATTTGACACTTAGCAACCATGGAAAACTAATCTGTGTGACATGAGCGGGGCGAGGTAGATAAGTGATATCTCAGTAGGAAGTGAATTCAAAGATCTAGAAGATTGAAACCTATAGGACAAGCTGAGCTGCAAGGTGTCTCACGAATTTGTGTAGGGCCTAATGGGTAGCATCGTGACAAGAAGCTGAACAGACTTGTAGATGTTAGGAGCAAAAGCATTTTTATATTTATAATTTAGATCTGTAAAGCCTTTATATATATTCTTTTTTGTTAAGGATCCAGACTAGTGTTTAATTCTCGAGTTTTCAAAAATGCATCTTGCTGTCCTACCGATCGGGGCGATTCACATCTGTGACCAATACCACATCCGCTGATCAGAATGCTCCAGCCTCCCTCCTTTTTGATGTTAAGGTCTGAGATTTCTGTTTTGGCAATAACTGTAGCTGCAGCATTGCACTGCTTTGAGCCAGTCCCAGTCATACAGTATACTGTACATTAATAGCTTTCATGAAAAGTGCTTCATGTTAGGTCACCACCGGATACATCGATACCTGAAGACGTTCTTAGCAGTATCACCTTTATACATGCATACATGTATACAAGTATTTGATACAAACGCCTAGGAAATTGCGTTTCGTTTAAGAAGTATGAAGTATGGAAGTGGCTAGTATTACAGCAACTTAGTTATAGTCTATTTAGCAGAGTAAAATGGGTAGAGGAACAATTACTGACAAAATTATGTGGAATGATCCTGAAGAAAACAGCTGCTTAAAGGGCTAGTTATGCTAAATTTTCACGACTGATTTTCACATTGTGCGCGTTAGGCGTTGCAAAGTAACCGTTCAAATTATAAGGTATAATTATGTTTCATTAGTTTACACACAATGATAACCTTTGTTCATGGTAGTATTTCGAGCAGAATAACTGCGCATGTTCACACCACTGTTAGAATTGATTTGCTTTTGAATTGAACTTATGTTACGTTAAAAATACCGTGAATTGGCAAGAAATTATACGCTATATAAAAAGGGTAGTTATTGACAGGGTGTAGTCACTTCATCATAAAAATAGAGCAGCGTATTATACTGATTATATACGTAGTTAAAAATGTGAAATAATAAATAGTGAAGTTGTTAAAATAATTGTCAGCCACGTCTCGTAAACCGTTAGTGCCCAGCTCTTGCTACGCTGCGCCTCACGCTGTTCCTCGAAGCTTCTCAGAAACGCTTAGTACGAACGAACGCAAAAACCAGAACACAGATTGGTGACTCGAGAATTCTTTATTCTAACACCTACATATAGCCAACTTTACAACTAAGGTCTATGAACAAATATTACAATAATAAATGACAATATTACTTCTGACGGTTTTGTCCTGACTTCTTTCTGAACAGCGAGCGATGAGACGATGACTGTCGTATTGATGCCTCCGCGAAAATTGGGGAAGTTGGGTTTGAGCAAACAACCATGAATTGATCGTTCAATCTTCAACTACATTGACAATAGTTGTTTCTAGAACTACTTACACATACACAAGTTATTGGAGAATAAAGAGAAATGAAAACCGGTAAAATTAGTCAAACATTCACTGTGTAAGTAGTAGAGTTGAGTTATATGTCATTGACTATACTGAAGACTGGACTGGCTTTCTTTTGCCGTTCTACCAACAGTTTTGGTCTCTCGGACGAACTAAAGCTGACATGTTAATGTGTCTTTCTAGGCTCCGTTTGAACCCATTGGGGATTTCATAACATCTAATTTCAGATGGTATTTGGTTCCAAAGCATGCAATATTTTATTGTGAAAGCGTTCGTTTTGATGGGCTGTAGGTGGCCACCTTATGAAGTTTGTCGTGGTTTCGCAGCGGATATGACTTGATATTTGCCCACGTTATGGATGAGTTACTATAGTGTTTCCTAATGACTTTGAATAGTAGAAATAAGTTGCACTTCACTCTTCTTAACCACAGAGGTTCTAATTTTAGACGTATACACCTGTCAACATATTCCATTAGTTGGTCAAACCCTTTTATGCGTTTCGTGAGGAATCTCTAGACACTCGATTATTTTCCGGTCTGCAGACCTTAGGTTATCAAATAAGGGGGCACAGTAATAATAATAATGATTTACTTTATCCCAAAAACAGTACTTATGATACAGTATTCAAGTTTGGGGCGGATACATGTCTTATATATAGCTAATCTTGCTTGGGTGTAGAAGTCGTTTACAGTCAGACGCTACCTTATTTGCGTGATGGAAAAGGCTAAATCTGAGCATGTTGTCCCGAGATCTGCGACTGTGTTTAGTCTTGAGTGGAGCTTACCGCATACATTCTTGGTCTTCAGCGTTCAAGGTGTGCTATACAGCACTTGTCTGGGTTGAGAATCAGTTTTCACTTTTCGCTCCTATCGCCTAGACTGTTAAAGTCATGTTGGATCTTGCTTACAACGCTCATACTATCGTACCCATTAGCATGCACTATCTTCAAAAATCGTCTGCAAAGAGGTATGGCTTGCCACACTCGATCACAGAGACCGTGTCATTTTTGAATAAGAGGGATAGAATAGGGCCAAGAACGCCATCCTGTATTACACCACTAGTCATCTGCTTTGATGAAAACAGCTGGTGGTTGATTTTGACTAACTGCTCTCTTCCTGTGAGAGAATTTATCCATTTGGGAAGCTTTCCAGTCATTCCGCAGGATCGAATTTCTGTTAGGAGTCTGATATGTGGGACTTGAGTAGGAGCAAAATCGTGTCATTACCACCGTTTTTCAACAGAATGGAAAAAATACAGTCTGCAGCAATAGTGACAACAAGCTTAAGATTT